GAACCGAACTCACGACCTTGCGCTTGCCAGGCAGGCGCTTTGCCGCTGAGCTAAATCCCCAGCCCCGGTAATTTTCTTTTATTTGTTTTGTTTTGGAGTTTTTCGAGGGGGTCCAGCTATAAAATGCAGGCTGGTCTTGAACTCAGTATGCAACCCAGGCTGGCCTCAAACTTGCCCGCATTCCTCCTGCCTCAGCCTTGCTGTGCCATCACCCATGGCCCACATTTTCTTAAAGCAACAGCACTTGGAACTTAGTCTAGAGCAGGGGTGTTGTGTTTAGCCTGGTGCCCAGGCAGTTTCTGAGCACTTGAAGTCTCACCACCGTAGCAGCGTCAGCCTTTAGTGTGTGGCATGGTTTCCCTGCTCAACCCACTCAGCCTACTGCCTCCGACATCCCTTGCTCTTCCCTTCCTGAAGGGCAAGGAGGTGCTCCTGCGAGAGGTGTTTGCAATGGCTGAAAGGTTTCTATTTTTTGAGATAAGGACTAGATATGCAGTCCAGGCCTACCTCTGGCAATCCTCCTGCTTCAGCCTCCAGAATGCTGTGGTTACAGAGATGCACACACACCTGTTTTGTGTACAAGTTTATCTCACACCTGCCTCAAACCCTCCTGACTCCTGTGCAAGGAGCCAGGCCTGCAGAGTGACGCCTGGCACCAGGCTCCTCACAACACATGCTGTGTGCAGGGTTGAGGCTGACCCTGGGGGCTGGTGACACGGGCTGCAGGTGGGGCAGAGCTGGAGCACAGCTGGAGCACGGATCCTAACGGCTGTCCCTGGCTGCAGACTGAGGGTGCAGTGCCCAGCAGGGGTTAAATGAAACGTCTGTAAAGACGAGGCAAGGCTGAAGGTTAGACTCACTTTTCCCAGCTCTGCAAGCTGTGTTGGTTGCTCATGGTTTGTTTTTGGTAACATCTTGCTTAGTCCAAGCTGGCAGCGAATGCACTGTAGCCTAGGATAGCCTCCAACTCTAGGTCCTGCCTCAGATGCTCAGGTGCTGGGAATGCAGGCATACACTGCTATGCTTGCCTTTTGCGTGTGTGTGTGTGTGTGTGTGTGTGTGTGTGTGTGTCTTTGAGACAGGGTCTCACTATGCAGTTCAGGCTGGCCTTGAGCTCACTTTGTAGCCCAGACTGGTCTCAGACTCGCAACAATTCTCCTGCCTCAGCCTCCTGAGTGCTGGGATTACAGGCATGCGCTACCACGCCCACCTTACTTTATTTTTAAATTTTGCTTTGTAGTGCTGGAGACTGAACCCAGGGCCTTCACACTGAGCTACTTCTCCAGCCCTTTTTAAATTTTTCATTTGGAGACAGGAGTAGCTAAGTTGCCTGGGCGGTCTTCTAATTTGAAACCTTCCTGCCTCAGCCTCCTAGAGTGCTAGGATCACAGATATGTAGCACCACACTGGGCCTTATTTTATTTAACAATGCTGGGGAGTGAAGCCAGGGCTTTGCGCGTGACAGGCAAGGGCTCTACCACTGAGCTCCATGCCCAGCACCTTTATTTCTATTTAATTCTACAGGGGTGAAGTGCATAGCCTCCCCCTCCGCCTGGGGTTCACGCTGCTGCCAGGACAGAGGAGCTGCTGTGGGACTTGGGAGCCGGATGCATGGGAGATGACTGAAGCTGACACTGCAGAGTCCTTCCGGGTCACACTCAAGACAGCAAGGTGCCCGCCCACCCATCGAGGAAAAAGACTAGTCCACTCTCAGTGGCTACCACTGTCCTGGCTCAGACTCACCATCCTTGGCCACAGGCAGCCTGGGCAGTAGGAGGGGACACCGGGCCGCACCTGCACTTTGGGCTATCAGGTGTGGCAGTGAAGCCTGTGCTGCTCTCACTCCTTAGGGAGTGGAGGAGGCGTGGAGGGCAGTGGGGAAACTGGCGCCTCTGTTGCAGCCTCAGGGCTGAGATGGTGGCTTCACTGCCCGAAGCTATGCAACCTGGCTCAGTTACGCCCCTCTCTGAGCAGGTGCTTCCCTGGGAAGCAGGACGTGCACCTCACGGCCTATAGTGAGGGTTTGGTAGTGTAAGGGATGTGGCACTCAGGCACACAGCATTTCACTACCAGCCTGGGATCAAACCTTGGCACTGAGCTACATCCCCAGCCTCCCTGGAGGCCTGGGGAGAATTTTCCTCTCAGGGAGAGGCTATGTTCAAGGGCTGGGAAAAATCTGCCCACCTGTGAGCCGCCCTTGGTGTACAGGAGCCTACGTACAGTGGTGACATCATTACAAACGTAGCCCACAAACTTCCTAGAGTTGGCCAACTTTCCAGATTCCACAAATTCGAGACATTTAACACCAATCAGAAAAATAAATAAATAAATAAATAAACAAACACCAATCGGGCAGGGAGGTGAACTCCTATAATCCCAGCTACTTTGCTTTGGTTTGGTTTAGTTTCCAGTACTGGGAATCAAACTCATGACCTCGCGCTTGCCGGGCAGGCACTGTGCCACTGAGCTAAATCCCCAGCCCAATCCCAGCTACTTTGGAAGCTGAGGCAGGCAGATTGCAAGTTCAAGGTAAGCCTGGGCAATTTTTTTTTTTTTTTTCCTTTTTGAGACAGGGTCTTGACATGCAGTTCAGGCTGGCTTTGAGCTCACTTTGTAGCCCAGGCTGGTCTCGAACTCAGTGATCCTCCTGCCTCAGCCTCCTGAGTGCTGGGATTACTGGTGTGCAGCCACCACACCTGGCTCAAGCCTGGGCAATTTATAGAGACCTTGTGTCAAAATTTTATTTTATTTGGTACCGGGAATCAAACTGAGGACCTTGCGCTTGCCAAGCAGGTACTGTGCCCCTCGCTATGTCCCAGGCCCAAAATTTTAGAAAGGACGAGGAGAAGCTCGCAGGGAGATGACTGCCTCGCATGTGCACACTAGATTCAGTCCCCAGCATTGCAAAAACAAGCGAGACAACTGGCACACAAACCTGAAAGCAGTGCTGTGGGCCTAGTGCTCTGGGTACCGCTTCCACTGCAACAGCTGACCTGACAAACAGGAGATGCAGCCACAGGACATGAGGTGTGCTGTGTCCGGGGAGCACTGGCTTGGGTCTGCCAGGTGCTGGTGGTGAGACCCACACTCATACCCGCCTTCTTCTCTGGCCACCCTCAGGCTGCACCCACCCCCTTTGCGTATTTGTTTGTAGGTAGGGTCTCACTGAGTTGCTGCTTTGCCCAGATGGGCTCCAATCAACCGCCTTTTACCAGGTTCCAGGCCTTGTTCCAGGCGGTTCCTCTGCTCAGGGTTTCCAGACCTCTCTGAACAGCCTGGGCAGGTGTGACAGCCAGCAGGGGGAGGCGCCCTGGGCCCGGCCAGCAGACACTGAGACTGCATTCCAAGGGTGCCTGGCCGACTCCCAGAGACACAAGACTGTGCCCACTGGGGCAGCAACACCAGGTTCTTCTGTCCCAAGGGCCCAGCTGGCCATTCCTGTCCCGGCCTCAGGCATCAAGGACGGTCTGTCCTTGGCATGCGAACACTTTGTTTCAATATAGCAACTCCAAAAAACGGTTTGCCTTGGCTGCTAGGGATATAGCTCAGCGGCACAGCACCTGCCTGGCAAGTGCAAGGTCCTGAGTTCAATTCCCGGTACCAAAAAAAAAAAAAAAAAAAACAGATGGCCCAAAAATGGTTTGCCATTAGTACCCTAAGTCATTCCGCTGGGGCTGACACCAGCTCTGCTATGGGTTCAAACCCCACGAGGTCCAACACACAGTTCTCCTTCCAGAGGCAGAGAGAGGCTGGGGACACTGCCGCCCCAGACTTACAGGAAGCAAACAGGCAAGCGGAACACGATCCGGCAGGACAAGGAGCACATGCCCAGGAGGGACACACAGATCCGCACAGCAGCAGCGTCTGGAAGGCCTATCCTGTACATGCACGGCAGCGCTGGGTCAGACCCCAGGGCTCTGCCACCGAGCCACAGCCCAGCCCTATCGGGCCAGCCCTGCAGACATTTCAGGTGTTACTGTCATCCCAACTGGACTGAACGCTTTCCCACCTTCAGTTCAGTGCAAGGCCGCGGCCCGGCCCAGCCCGGCCCGAGTGACCCACTTGTCTTGCTACCCTGCTGTCAGTCTTTCCCTATCTGAAGTCTCCCCTCCCACGCCCCACTCCTAACCGTGGGATGGTTAAGGGCACAAGGACAAGGACAAGCATCATGGAACTAGGTTAGGAATCACAACAACCGAGGATGGCGTCGTTTACTGGAAGCCAAGATTCAACCTCAGAATTCACCTTCACTGCAGTCAACTTTAACTAAATCTGGGCAAAAAGTTTGTCAAATTCCCCCAGTGGCTGAGGACAGGCCAGGCCTCAGGCCAAGGGAAAAAAGGACAGCATAGCGTGAGAACCATGGACCTTTTATGGTTACAACAGACAGACATTCCGGAGCTGCAGCAGAGCCGCAAGGAGCAGCAGGCGTGACAGTCCTGGGCACAAGGACCCTTCCCGCATCAGCGGCTGGATGCTCACCGCAGCACCGGGATCCACACACTCCCCAAGCCGGTACCCAGCGTGCAGGAGGCCGCACGCTCAGCTTACAAGCCCTGTGAACAGGTGCAGGAGACGCACTGCAGTCAAATCCAAGCTCAGGCCGCCCCAGCCATATACTTCCCAGGCTGAAGGCTCGGCTCCTTGGTCCTCCAAGCAAACACCCGCTGGCTCTAGGGAACAGCAGCCGAATAGGCACTCACCCAGGTAATCATCCATCAGGGAGCCAATAGCAAACTGCAGGAGGAAAGGCCAACATGAGACTGCGGCACGGAGGCTCGGCACCCGCTCCACCCCAAGCCTGGGCTCTGGGGCAGGAGAGCACAGAGCCATGGGAGCTGCAGCTGTGAGAAACCCGCAGCTCTTGGCGCTGCAGGGAACAGGTGGGGTGGGGAGGCCAGCGAGACTCACGATGTCGTTCTTGTCCACACGGGTCCCCACGATCTTCAGGCGGATCTCGTCATCCTGCTGAATGACGATGTCCTGGGAAGGGGAGAGTGCCAAGGCCGTGAGGTCCCCAGGCCACACTCACCGGGGGGGCGCCGGCTCCCGCCAGCCTTCCCGCTCACCTCGTCCATTGTCTTGTAGCAGGGCGGGTTGGAATTGGGATCAAACTCCATCTCGGATGGGATGGACTAGAAGGAAAGGAGACAGGTGAGCAGGTTCCCCAGACGCTGCCGTGGTTGCTGGGAGTGAGGCTGCCTCCTCAACCCCGCCACATGCCACACTCACATGTCGAGAGATGAAGCAAGACATCGGCCCGATTTCCGTGAAGAGCCCAACCTGGATGAAAACAAATGACTGTGCTTTTTCTCCCATCCTGCAAAAGCCTTTCAAGTGTCTCACGTTATTTGAATCCTAATACTACTAGCCCTGTTTGTAACGGGTCCATATTGTAGCATTTGTTGATGTTTCTTTTTACTTTTCATTTTTTGTTTTAAATTAAGCAAATCAAGTGTCACAATAAAGAGCACAGGGGCTGGGGATTTAGCTCAGAGGCAAAAGCGCCTGCCTGGCAGGAGCTGGGGATTTAGCTCAGCGGCAAAAGTGCCTGCCTGGCAAGCGCAAGGTCGTGAGTTCGGTTCCCGGTACCAGAGAAAAACCCAAAAACAAACAAACAAACAAAAAGAGCACAGCCCCGGGCTTGATGGCCCGTGGACACCTAGGCCTATAAAAGGGGTGCATTCACCCCCTCTTCCAGTCACTACTCAGTCTCTGTGGGCCTCTGTCCTTGTCACGTTAACAGGGCTCCGGTGAGCCACGGCAAGATAAGGGAACCGAGGCAGGGGAAGCGACTTGGCTAACCGCAGAGTTCCCAAGTGGAGGTTCGGCCCAGATCCCTGAGGGAACATGTCAATTCCCACTGCCATGCCCTCTGCGCCGTCCATCCAGATGGCTCACCTTGTTGACCTGAGTGACCACAGCATCCACGACTTCGCCTTTAAATGGCCGGAAGACAATGGCCTTGTACTTAACCGGGTAAAGGACAAAGCCCCGGCCCGGCTGGATCACACCAGCACCAATGTTGTCAATGGTGGTGACGGCAATGACAAAGCCATACCTGCAGGACAGGAAAAGACACTATTTGTTTCTGTTTAGGTTTTGGAAACAGGATCCCACTATGTAGTCCAGCTTGTGAACTTGCTGTGTAGCTCATGACTGTATTCCCACCACTTGGGAGGCTGAGGCAGGAGGATGGTGAGCCCCGGGCCAGCCTGTTACTCAGACAAGCCCTGTCTCAAAAAAAAAAACCAAAAAGACCGAACAGTCCTAGGCTGTTCTGGCACCCGAGGCCCAAATTCTCCATTCCCCGTGGAAGCAGTCCCGAGTGGGAGGATCCGGGTCAGAGCTCAGAGGCGTCAGCCCCAGCCCTCCTGCTTGTCCCCTAAACTGCTCCTTCTAGTCTTTCATTCGGAAAGACAGGCCCTGGGCACAGGGGGCACGAGAATCCGGTGATAGAGGTGCAGCACACCACCAGCTCCCCAGGCGGGCTCGCCACTGGCTCCGGATGTTTGCAGGGTGAGTAAGTGACCGGTGCTGGGGCCCAGGCCGGCGCTCACTTCCCCGTGCAGGTCCCCTCCACCTCCGTGAACAGCTTCTGCTTCACCGTGTTGAGCAGGTTGGGACCGAAGTAGCGCGGATGCAGCAGGATTTCGTGCTCCAGGGAGATCTGCGGGGAGAGGACCATGAAGCCGGCGGGGGCGGGCGGGGCGCGGACGAGACGCAGGCCGTGACCACCCCCCGGCCGCCCCCGGCCGCCCCCCGGCTCACGTGGTAAAACATCCTCGGACGGAGAGCTCGGGCAGCAACACCTGCACCCGCGGCCGCAGCAGCCGTCCTGCTACCCGGAAGTGCCTGCTCCCGCTCCCACCTGCTTCCGGCCCCCTCGCTAATCTGATTGGTCCCTCGGCATGGGCGGATCCGCGAGGGCCCCGCCCCTCCGTCCCGCGCGCGGGTAGCAGTGGCGCCGGAGACCTCGCCTTTTTTTCCTTTTCCTGCGGTGCTGGGGACGGAGATAGGGGTGTGCGTGCTGGACCAGCAATTGCCCCGGAGCACAACCAGCACGCGGGAAGTACAGCACTTGCAGGCAGAATTCATTATCAGGGAAAGATGACAAAACACAGCAAATGCTCAGACTGCTTCCGGCAATAAGCATTGCATTAGCCATTTGCTGGGTACAACTCCGCCCACACCGTGTGAGTGTGTGTGTGTGTGTGTGTGTGTGTGTGTGTGTGTGAGTGTTACTTGAGATTGAATCTTGAACCCAGGGCCTTCACACAGAGCCACATCCCCCGTCATTTCTCTTTTGAGAGTTTTTTTCTTTTGAGATAGTTTTATTAACTGTAGTATGGGTCGCTCCACCAGCCGCCGCCCCCACCCCGACTTTGGCAGACAGCCCCTCTATCACACCCCGCCTCCGCTGGCCAGGTTGTGAAATCCTTCCCTGGCTGAATCCTTGACTCAGAATGCCGCTGCAGACACAGAAGCGTCCAGAGAGGAGACCTACGAGAAAGGCCCAAGAGCCGCTGGCTCTAGAACCCGGCAGTCACGTGGCCTTGGGCAGGCGTCCCGTCCCAAATACTGGGCGTCTCGGTGTGGTAAGCGAAAGCCCGACCTGCTCTCCTGCCGGAGCTGATAGCTCACTTCCCTTAGTGCTGTCCCATCTGCAGGAAGACTGGATCCCAGGGACAGGATGCTGCTTCTCAAATGGCTGCGGCTGCGGAAGCCTCTGGGACTCCATCACGCGTTCTGCTTAAGACCTAGCAAAGAGAGCTCATCTCCTCGGCTTTCAGGTATTTATTTATCTATTTATTTTATTTTGGTTTTTTTCCGGTACCAGGAATCGAACTCACGACCTTGAGCTTGCCAGGCAGGCGCTGTGCCGCTGAGCTAAATCCCCAGCCCCTGGCTTTCAGGTATTTAACACTAATTCTTCCAACCGATGGACACGGGATGTCTGTTCTTTAGTGTGTCTTGACGGCTGAAGATATAGTTCAGTGGCATAAGTGCCTGCCTGGCAAGCGCAAGGTCGTGACTTTGATGCCCGGTACCGCAAAAAAAAAAAAATTTAAAAATAGTGTGTCTTCAATCTATTCTCTCAATGCTTGATAATTTTTTTGTAGAGGTCATTCTCTTTTCCCATACTCTAAACTGACCTGCTCCTTACTTGTGTCATTCACTGCTGTATGCTGTACTGCCAAGATGCAGCCTGGGACAAAAGGACAATAGAGGAATTGAAGGCCGGAGTTGGTGGTGAACACCTGTAATCCCAGCGCTCGGCAGGCTGAGGCAGGAGGATCCTTGCGAGTTAAGAGACCAGCCTGGGCTACATCGTGAGCTCAAGGTCAGCCTGAACTGCACAGCAAGACCCTGTCTCAAAAAGACACACACACACACACACACACACACACACACAGAAAGGCATTCAGCAGGTGTTCTGTGTCCTCAGTGTGCAGACAGCTTACACCAGCAGTTCTCAGTGCAGGTGGGCAGATCTTCCAGTTATAAACCTGAGACCAGATTTTCTTTTTTTTTTTTCAGTACTAGGGATCGAAGCCAGAGCCTTGTGTTTTTTGTTTTTGTTTTTGTACCAGGAGTCGAACTCAGGACCTTAGGCTTGCCAAGCAAGGCGCTGTGCAACTGAGCCATGTCCTGGGCCCCCAGGGCTTTGTGTATGCTGGCCAAGTGCTCTAACACTGGGCTGCTGTAAATTGCCAGGTTTTTTAATTTGAGCAGTCTAAGTTGCCCAGGGTCATCTCAAACTTCCTATCTCAGCCTACCAAAGAAATCGGATTACAGGTGTGCGCCACCATGCCTACATAGTTCTTGGTTTGAGCAAATATACTTATTTATTCTTCAAAAAAATTTAAAATGTTCGGTAGGTGAGGTGGCACACACCTATAATCCCAGCAGGAGGAAGGCTGGAGGAAGGAGAATTGCCGTGAGTTCCAGGCCAGCCTGAACTACACAGGGAAACCCTGTCTCAAAAAAAAAAAGATTGAAAATGTTGGGGTTGGGGTGATTGAAGTTCAGTGACATAGTGTGTGGGTTTGTTGTTGTTGTTGTTGTTTTCCCGGTACCGGGAATCGAACTCAGGACCTTATGCTTGCCAGGCAGGCGCTGTGCCGCTGAGCTAAATCCCCAGCCCCACAGTGTGTGCTTAACAAGGGCAAGGCCCTGGGTTCAATCCACACAACACATATGCTGGTATATACACACACAAAGGAAAAGGTTGTTTGTGTAGGCATGAAGCGGGCGTATTGTTATTTTGTAATAAATAACTATAACCTTTAGTTGTGTGTGTGTGATATTGGGAATTGAACCCAGGGCCTCTGCACTGAGCTACAATTCCCCAGCCCTTTAATTTTTAAAAAATTTTTGAGTCAGCGTTAGGGTCTCTAAATTGCTGCAGCTGAACTAGAACTTGTGATCCTCCTGCCTCAGCCTCCCAGAGTGCTGGGGTTACAGCCATGCGCTATCACACCCAGCTTGAGGGTACTTCATTTTGACCCTGTACAGTGGGAGCAGGAGCAGTGTGGTGTGAGTTCCAGGTCAAGCAGAGGCCTGCAGGTACCTAGCACAGCGTGCTGGGCAGAGCCCGCTCCTCGGTTGCGTCCGGGTCCGAGCAGAGCGCCTGGCTGCAGACTAGCGGGGAGAAGCCGAGCGTGGCGACGCGGACACTGCGCTGAACACCCGGTCTACCACTGTCCGAGTCAGCCTGCCACCTGCCCGGTCAGGGTCGCTCCACGACGTCTCAGAAGCGGCCGGGCTTTTCCATCTCCCGCGCGCACTGCCGGCCCCGACCTCGCGCCTGTCCCACAGCGCGCGCCGGGGCTGCGGACGCGCGGGGCGTCTGTTCTGCTCGCTGTGCGCCGCCCCACTGCACTCGAGCGGGCGGCGTGGCACGTGGACTTGTTGAGGCTGGGCTTCCCGCAGGCGACCGCGGTGCGGAGGCGCGGCAGTGCCCGTCTAGCACCCGGGCCTCCGGAGTCCTCGCTGGTGGTCAGCGTCGTTCCGGGCATTCCCGAGGCTGTACCGCCTCAGGCAGAGGGAGAAACTCGGCCAATCCGGAGGGGCGCCCAGGCCACGAAGGCCGGACTAGGAGGAAAGTGCACGACAGGAATGCCAACCAATCCGGCTCCGAGCCGACTGAGCGACGGCAACTAGCACCCACTCGGCGATACGATCAGGGCGGGACGGGATAACCGGCAGCGAACCAATCCGTGACGGGGAAGGCGAGTTGGTGCCAATCGCGGCTGAGAAGGTGGGAAGGGGCGGAGCCCGACCGAGGGCTGCTCGGTGGTGGGTGAGGGACTAGCTTTCGCTCTAGTTCCCACCCTGGAAGCTTTGGGCCCTTGGAGCGCGAGAGGCAGTGGCCCGGGCAGTGTCCGGACCGAGACATGGAAGCATCACCCTGGAGGGCTTGAGCGCAAAAGAGACTCTTAATTGGAGGAGTCGCTTAAAGCTACGGGACGGCCACCGAGGAAGCCGAAGCTAGTTAGGGGCGGGACTTCCGGGGGCAGGGCTTTTTCCTGAAGGGGTGGGGCCTGTTGCTAAGGTTAGCGCGAGGGGCGGGGCTAATAGACTGGGTGTGACGGGGGGGGGTGCAGGCTGGGTGGCTATTTAAAGCGATCGTCTTAGGCTGTGGTGTTGGCTGTGGCCGTGGGGGGTGTGCCAGAGTTAGGGGCTGACTTTGAGGCTGCCCGGGAAGACACCTGCCCTAACCTGCTGCCCTCTCTCCCCAGGGCGCCACTGGTGGGGACCTTTGGGGTTGCCTTCCCTTCGTGGCGTGCTATGGAGTTTCCAGAACACAGCCAACAGCTGCTGCAGAGCCTCCGGGAGCAGCGGTCCCAGGGCTTCCTCTGTGACTGCACGGTGATGGTGGGCAGCGCCCAGTTCCTGGCCCACCGGGCCGTGCTGGCCTCCTGTAGCCCCTTCTTCCAGCTGTTCTACAAGGAGCGGGAGCTGGACAAGCGGGATGTGGTGTGTATTCACAACGAGATCGTCACGGCCCCCGCCTTTGGGCTGCTGCTGGACTTCATGTACGCCGGCCAGCTGGCCCTGCGCGGCGACACCCCTCTGGAGGACGTGCTGGCGGCTGCCAGCTACCTTCACATGAATGACATAGTCAAGGTGTGTAAACAGAGGCTGCAAGCCCGGGCCCTGGCAGAGGCCGACAGCACCAAGAAGGAAGAGGACACCAGCGCACAGCCTCCCGGCTTGGAGTTGCTGTCCAGCACCTCCCAGGGGCCTCAGCCGTCACTGGTGTCCTCTGAGACGTCCGGCCCGTGGGGCAAAGCGGAATGGAAGAGCCCAGCCGCCCCCTTACCTGCTGTGTGTCCTGCAGAGGAGCCACCTGGGCCTGGTGGTGCAGACACCACACAGCCCGGCATGGAGGTAGACGCCTCACACCTACGGGCAGGGCCCCCACCCGGAGCGGATAGCTGTGTGTCTCTGGCCAGCCCCAGTAGCTCCACAGAGGTCCTGCCTGCAAACTACTTCCCTTCTGGCCTCCCTGCAGTTTCCGTGGAGCCCCTGACTCCCCTTGGTGCAGGTCCTGAGAGCCTGCGGGTGGTGGAGCCCCAGGATCCTGGGGGACCACTGCAGAGCTTCTACCCTGCAGCTCCAGCCCCAGCTCCGGTGGAGGCCGAGCTGGTCCAGGTGAAAGTGGAAGCGATCGTGATCTCAGATGAGGAGACGGATGTGACTGAGGAGCAGCCTCAGGGTCCAGAGAATCTGTTCCCAGCTGCAGGGGCCCTGTTCAGAGGACAGCCCACCCAGCCCGCGCAGCCTGCGCAGCCCCCCCAGCCCCCCGAGCCTCAGGCTTTCGAGGGGCCTGGCAGCGCCGGCCTGGAGGAGGTGGGGCCCGGTGAGCACTTCCTGGCTGCTGATGCGCACTTGCCCTACCACCTCCTGCCAGGGTCCGGGCAGTACCCTCGAGGACTGCTGACCTCGCCCCTGCCGACACCCCTAGCCCTGCAGGAGCCACTGTACCCATCCTCCGAGTATGAAGCAGCTCCAGGAGGTTTTGGGGTTTTCACTGAGGACGTTCCTACCTGCAAGACTTGTGGTAAGACCTTCTCGTGCTCCTACACGCTCCGACGACACGCCACTGTCCACACGCGGGAGCGGCCCTATGAATGCCGCTACTGCCTGCGCAGCTACACCCAGTCCGGGGACCTGTACCGCCACATCCGCAAAGCGCACAACGAGGACCTGGCCAAGCGCAGCAGAACCGATCCGGAGGCTGGCTCTGTTCTGGGAGTGCAGCCCCGCCCTGGCTCTCCCACGGCAGATAGACAGAGCAGTGGTGGGGGAGGGGCACCCAAAGAATTTCTACTTGGCCCTAAAAACTGATCTGTAGGTGCAGGAGCTGTTCCTAGGCCTGCTTTTCTTTGCCTTTCTTGCCTTAGATGGCAGCGCAGAGGTGGGAGGCATCTCGTCTTTCCGTTTTTGTTGTTTTTACGACAGGGTCTCACTATGCAGTTCAGGCTGGCCTTGAACTCAACTGTGTAGCCCAGGCTGGCCACGAACTCTCCTCCACCCTCCTGCCTCAGCCTCCTGAGTGCTGGGATTACATGTGTGAGCCCCACAACACCTGGCTTGCTTGCTTTCTTTTGTTCCTTTTTTTTTCTTCTTCTTTTTTTTTTTTTTTTTTTTTTCATTTTTGAGACATCTCACTATGTAGTGCAGGCTGGCCTTGAGCTCACTGTGTGTCCCAGGCTGGCCTTGAGTTCACAGCAATCCTCTTGCTTCAGCCTCCCCAGTACTCGGCGCATCTTGTCACTCCTGCTGGTGACAGAATGAAGGTTCTGCCAGGCAGGAAGCTCTTGCCCTTCTCTCCCCAGCCAGGTGAGCAGGACTGAGGCGGAGCCCTGGAAAGCCTCCAGAGGCGTAGCTGCTGCTCCTGCGCTGGAAGGTAGAGCTCGAGTGAAATGGCCTCTGTGAGCTGGTGTGGCTGTGTTATCTCATGAACCTGAACATTGTCGTCCTCTTGCTATTCCTTCATCTGACAGCTGTCCTGGGGTTGGAGGGCAGGTGTGGGCACTTGTGAGGAGAAACATTGAGAGTAATGTAGGCCTTATTAGGTATACAAATTAGAGCACCTTACACAATTATGGTTTATTGTAGTTGTGTTCTGGGCTGTGTTGTGATTTTCATATAAATTCTCATTTCATCCTGTGTTATAGGGTACCTGCTCCCTCCCCTTTTGAGACAAGGTCTCACTGTGTGGTCCAGATTGGCCTTGAACTCACTGTGTAGCCCAGGCAGACCATGCACTCAGTGATCCTCCTGCCTCAGCCTTCTGAGTGCTGGGATTACGGTGGGCCACTACATGCCGCTCCCCCCGCCTTTTTTTTTTTTTTTTAAACCAGAAAACTTGAAACTCAAAAAATGCAAGTTTATCCCGGGGCGCCACGCTCCTTAAGGCCGAGCCAGGATGCGGGCCTGGCTGGGTGCCCGTTGCTGTGCGCGGCATGCCCTTCCTGTCCTGACTGCCACTGCACCTGCGGAGGGCAGCGAGGCTGCAGCGGGGACCTGGGGATGCGGGCGGAAGTGGCAGCGCTGGGGGAGAGGCCCTGGCCCGAGGCCCTTCAAAAAGCCCCAGGGCAGGCACAGGGTCCCGAGGGGCAGCGCCGGCCCCAGCTGCTCACTCTGCAGAGAGCAGGGGTCGCTGCGAGCGGGAGGGACGAGGGGGCTGCGGTGGTCTGTCTGGGCTCTCCAGAAGCCCTGCTCCTTCCCACATGAGGAGCACAGGGAAAGGGGAACGCAGTGCACTTCTGGAAGGACCCTTGTCGCCCTTTATCGTCTGTCTGTACGCTCTAGCGCTCCGTGGTTTTGCTGCGGAAAGCGGAACGCTAAGGCCGGTCGTGGAGATTCACCCTCCTTCCTGCCCGTTGAGGCTGAGGCAGGAGGATTGATTGAGCCCAGGAGTTTGAGGCCAGCCTGGGCAACAGCCAGACCCTATTTCTAAAAAATTAAAAAGTAAAATGTAAAAATCTGTATTTTTCCTTTGCTGTCTGGAGGTCAAACTCAGGGACTTGGGTGTGCTGCACAGCGCTCTATCATTGAGCCACAGCCCTGCCTTAACAGATAGTGACCGAACACAAGCAGCCGAGCCCTGACTTAGACCCCCAGGCTGTGAACTTTCACAGCTGCGCAGGCGTCTTGCAGCGGCTCGTCCGCAGGCGCTGTCCTGGTTGCACTGCGCATGCCCGTCCTGGTTGCACTGCGCATGCTCCTGTGCGGTCCACGTGCAGAGCGGCACAGGGCTCAGCCCAGGACGGCCCTGAGCAACAAGAAAGAGGTGCTGGTGTGGGGGCACCCGGGAAGTGCAGCGCGACACACACCGTGCATGGGTCTCAAAGCTGAGCAAGACTCACTTTGGGCCGGGGATATATCTCAACGGCACTGTGCCTGCCTGGCAAGCACAAGGTCCTGAGTTCAGTTCCCAGTACCAAAAAAAGACTGTCGGACTCACAAATGATCTGACTTAGAACAGTCTCCTGGGAGGGAAGCGGAACTCGTTTGTGGTCAGGGACTTACTGTGGAGGTAGCGGAGAGCTGGGGTGGGGTGTCTGACCAGAAAACACTGCTTCCAAGGTCCCTCACCTCGAGAGCCACCCACCAGAAACGCTTTCTCTCCATTCAGAGCCTTCAGGTTCTGTGTGGGAACCGCAAAGGCTTGGTTCAGGCGCAGCCTCCAGCTCCACAGAGGTTAAAAAATAACGAAACATCAGAAAGCAAAACCAGCCCCAATTAAACATGCAGCCACGACAAGCTAATTCATCCTTTTAAAGCATGGTGTAGCTCATCACAGGGCCACATGCCAGTCGATGCAGACCCACTGCAACCAGGTATTTTTCTAGTGTGGCGCAGACGACCCGGCATCCAGTCCAATGAGGGCAGTGGGGTTTATAATCCAGGCACAGTGTCGGGTCAGGGGTGGACAGTTACTAGAAGAAACATCAACATAAATGGTTTCTGAGGGGCTGGGGATTTAGCTCAGCGGCAAAAGCGCCTGCCTGGCAAGCGCAAGGTCGTGAGTTTGGTTCCCGGTACCGGAGAAAAACCAAAAAAAAAAAAAAAAAAAGAAAACATAAATGGTTTCTGGCCAAACTTTGGTAAGATTTGCACTGACACACTTTCTCAATAACCCTAACCTATGCAAGTCGACAGTTGGAAAAGTAGCCAAACACTGTTGTTAATTGTGTCCCTGGACATCATGTTACTTGGTAGAAAACCTTTTTGTTTTGTTTTGTTGTCTTTTTGAGACAGGGTCTCGCTGTGTAGTTCAGGCTGGCCTTGAGCTCACTTTGTAGCCCAGGTTGGTCTCGAACTCCCAACTATCTTCCTGCCTCAGCCTTCTGAGTGCTGGGATTACAGGCATGCACCACCACGCCCAGCACCTTTTTGTTTTTGATGACTGTATTATTTAAAGGTATAGGGAAGAATAAAGAGGAGTCTAGCCCATTGGGACAAGGGGTGTTATTTTTTTGAGGTAGGGTCTTGCTATGCAGTTTAGGCTGGCCTTGAACTCATGCCTCACCGAGCCTAGAACTCAGTATGATCCTCCTGCCTCAGCCTCCTGAGTGCAGGGATGCACCACCGCATCCAGCAGGCGTATTAGCATTGAGAAAGGACTAGGGCAGTGATGGTGACCTTGTCTTTTTTTCTTTTTTTTTTTTTTTGTCTTTTTGAGACAGGGTCTCACTGTGCAGTTCAGGCTGGCCTTGAGCTCACTTTGTAGCCCAGGCTGGTCTCGAACTCACAACGATCCTCCTGCCTCAGCCTCCCAAGTGCTGGGATTACAGGCATATGCCACCACGCCCGGCTTGTTTCCACCACTCTGCTGTGGACTGTGGCGCGCTGTCCACTGCTGGCCTAGTGCCCACGACCTAAGGTTGTCCATGAGGGGTAAACAGGAACACAGAGCAGTTCTGGTTGATGGAGCCTCTGGCTCTGCCAGGCAAAAACTGGACCCACACTCTCCCAGGGCTTGAAGGCACTAAGCAGCAGCAGCTTTCTTCCTTGTTTCTCTCCTTGGGGAGGATCCTGAGCTCTTTTTTTTTTTTTTTTTGGTATTGGAAATCAAACTCAGGACCTCGAGCTTGCTAGGCATATCCCTGGCCCTATATCCAAGCTCCTGCAAAACACTAGGTGACAGGCAAAGAGATCTGGGTTTTTTGCAGTACTGAGGAAGGACCTGGAGCCCCCACAGTCCTGCCGAGTGCCCTACCACCGAGCTTCTTCCTTCCCCGGCCCAAGGTTTTGATTCCATCCTGCTCTGGCATGGTACTGTTTCTAGAAGATTTGGTCATCTCTCTTTCCTAAGTTCTTTAGGGAAACAAGCATACCACATATATACAACTATTAAAAATTAAAACATTGGCTGGGGATGTAGCTCAGTGGCTTAGCACCTGCGCGGTAAGCACAAGGTCCCGAGTTCAATTTTTGCGACCAAAAAAAAAAGTCAACTGATGAAGGTCTGGAGGTATAGCTCATTGGCAGAACACTTGCCTAGCAAGTGGTAGGCCCCGGGTTCATTTCCCAACACTACAAAAATACATAAAAATTAAATGAACCTACATGACTTTTAAAAAAATTTTTAAAAAAATCAAAACACTTACTTGGGCATTTCTTTTCTAACTTGGGTATTTCTCCCCCCACCCCCCCTGTACTGGGAATTGAAGTCATGACCTCACGCTTGCCAGGCAGGTGCTGTGCCACTGAGCTAAAACCCAGCCCTTACTTGGGTATTTCTTGACACAAGGTTGAAGGGTTATTCAATAAATACTTCATTGCTTGACTCTAGAGGTTTTAAGAAAATAGATTGATTAAAAAAAATAAGTATTCTTTATTAATGATTAATAGCAAGGACTAGAAATTACCAGGAGGGAAAAAAGAGAAAGCAGATACTTTTGTAGGGAAAAAGAATCTGAATATGTGTGAAACATTACGGAGAACATGGAATTCATTTAGACACAAGTGATAATTCCGCATCTTTCATTTAAATACGATGTATTTCCTGGTTTGGGGAGAGGTCTGAGAAAAGGGAAGAACACGCTCCTCCTGGGCGCACCCTCGCAGGTGTGCGGTGTGCACACAGCCGACGACAGCTGTCAACCAGCCCAGGCAGAAACACCATGGACCCCACCGTAGCTGACCAGCGCTTCCTGGTGCAGCTCTCATGGCAAAGATCTCCGCAAGGACAGGTACCAGAAGCCAGAGGGACACAGACGGGGAAGGTGCGAGTGGTAGAGTCCGTGCGGAACACAGAACAGGAGGCAGGGGCCTCCTCACTCCCGCTTGGGGCTCTCCTCCACCTGAGCCGCGCTGGGAGCAAAGTGCTCCCTGTCAGCCAAACATGCCCAGGTACAGCTGCTTCTGCTTCCTGTGGTAGCTGCTGAGCTCGGACTGCGTCAGCTGCAGGTATCTCCGGACGTTGGCGTCTTGGCAGATGGAGAGGACAGTTAGCGACAGATCACGAATGCATCTTAGGCAGAAGAGGGTTAACACACATCACTCACCTCAACTGGAAAACACCACAACAATCACTCTGCCGTAATAGATTCCATAAAATACCACTTTGGATTTGAAAAAGAAATCTCTTACAAGGTTGAGCTGGTCACTAATTTTTTTCTTCTGCCAGTGGAAATGGAACCCAGGGCCTCTGCACTGAGCTCCATCCCCAGCCCTTCTTTTAGTTTGAGACAGGCTATTGTTAAATCACCAAGTTGCTCAGGTTGGATTGGAACTCGTGATCCTCCTGCCTCAGCCTCCCAGGGTGCTGGTATTACCGGCATGTACTACCATGCCCAGCTCAGTTGCTAATTTTATAATCAGGGGCTGGGGATCTAGCTCAGCAACACAAGTGCCTGCCTGGCCAGTGCAAGGTCCTGAGTTTGACTTCTAGTACCAAAAAAAAAAAAAAGAAAGAAAAAAATTATAATCAAACAGAACCAGGGATATAGCTCAGTGGCATAAGCGCCTGCCTGGCAAGCACAAGGTCCTGGGTTCAATCCCTGGTGACCAAAAAAAAAAAAAAACTAACTTATCAAAGGGAGTGTGATGAAATAGTTATTACCGTTAAAGAGTCACATAGGTGGTGCTTCATGTTTATTTTATTTATTTGTTTATTTATTGAGACAGTGTCTTGCTATGCAATTCAGGCTAGCCTTGAGCTCACTTTGTAGCTTAGGCTGGTCTCAAACTTACAACGATCCTCTTGCCTCAGCCTCCTGAGTGCTGGGATTACAGGCATGCATCACCACACCCGGCTCATGTATATGTATGAGTCATCATAGTCTCACCTGCATTTAAATTCGTGAGGCCTTATGTGTGCATGTACATTTGTGCATGTGTTTTCCCAGTGTGCAGGGATTGAGCTGGTATGTGCTCTACTGCTAGGCTGAATCCCCAGCTACCAGTCAGACTATGTACTGCTACATTTGGGGGCTCTCTGCTTGTACCTCTGAAGCTGTTCTGGATGAATGCATAAGGTACAACATCATCAGAACTAAGCCAGCCAACATGGGGACAGCCTGCATCCAGCCACAGAGGCCAACTTCCCCCTCCCAGAGGCTGCTCTAGCCTTGGGCTCCCACAGTGAGCTGAGCTGAGGTCCAGTGACAGCCAAGCTGGTCCCTAGGAGGGTGGAGCAATGCTGTCAGGTGTCCTCCTGGTCACTTCCTCCTTCCCACTCCCTCTCCTTTTTTGGTACTAGGAATTGAACTCAGGACCTTGTGCTTGCCAAGTAGACACTGTGCCGCTGAGGTACATCCCTGACCCACCCCAGTCTTCAAGGCTGAGGACTGAACCATGGAAAACGCGGCTTCTAAAGTCTTGGCATGCACCATGGTGACTACAGAAAACTAATCAATTAACCTATAAAAATTTGCTGGGCATGATGGCACACACTTGTCATTCCAGCACTCAGGAGGCTGAGTCAGGAGGATCACCAAAAGTTTGAGGCTAGCCTGGGCTACATAGTAAGCTCAAGACCAGCCTGAATTCCATAGCAAGACCTTGTCTCAAAAAAAAAAAAAAAAAATCTAAAACCACCGAGAGGTGTTTAGGGATAAAGTACATGTTTAATATGTGAAGGGCCCTGGGTTCAATCTCCAGCACACAGAGACACATAAAATCCCTGCACAGTGAGGATTAGACAAATTCATAAAAACTGGCTTACACATATAAAAAACAGAAGAGGCACAGAACTTGGTACACCTGTAATCCCAGCACTCCAGAAAGCTGAGACAGGAGGATTGCAAATTTGAGCCCAGCCTAGGCAATTCAGTGACTTAGGGACCGTCCCCCCACCTCAAAACAAACAAACAAACAAACAAACCGAAAAGGCTGAGAAGAATGTAGCTTAGTGTGAACAAAGGCCTTCGGTCCAATCCCAAGCACCACACACACACACACACGCACACACACACACACGCACAGAGGTGCATCTGCAGCACAGACAGTGGGTATCTGTACACACCTGCACTGTTAAGCATAAACATCTCCTAAGCACCACACAAGAGTAACACTGCTTTCTTGTGGAAACAAGAACACCGGGCGGAAGAATTTGTTCACTGTTTTCTTATTTATTTATTGTTTTTTTTTGAGACAGGGTCTTCCTCTGTAGTTTGGGCTGGCTTTGAACTTATTATGTAGCACAGCCTCGAACTCATGTTGATCCTCCTGCCACAGCTGGCCTGGATTCCTTTTCATACTTTCAGAATTTTTTTGTCCTCAACTTCATAGTGCCTTGAATGAAATGTATGGCCCAAGCTGGCCTCAAACTTGCAGCAATCCTGCTTCAGCCTCCCAGGTGCTTGTATGACTGGTATGGACCACCACGCCTGGCTACTTTTAGAATTTGGAAGCACGAATGTATACCCTATTTAAAAACATAATTCTGCTGGGCGGGGTGGTGGACGCCCTTGATCCCAGCACTTGGGAGGTTGAGGTAGGAGACCATCCTGAGCTCGAGGCCAGCCTGGGCTGCGTAGTTACTTCAAGTCAGCATGAACCATCTATATAGCAAGACCCTGTCTCAAAAACAAAACAAGTCAAAGTCAAAAGAACGCCCCCTTTCCGCACACAGACCCGCGCCCAGCCAGCCCCGCGCCGCTCACCTTTGGGCTGTCTGTGCACAGCCGCCAGCAGGTGGCGCTGCGCCTGCTCGTAGTCCTGTAGGTGGAAAAAGGCCACTCCCGCGCGGTACAGGGCTTTGGCGTTGTCCGGCTGCCGCCGCAGGACCTTCTGACTGTACTCCCGCACCCGCTCGTAGTTCACCGGCTCCATCTGCAGGAGGCAGGCTGGGTGCACAAGAGAGGGCGGCGGAGGCTCGGTCACGCGCGCCCTGGAGGGCGCGGACCGCTCACCCGGCATCTCCTCCCGCCTGCCTTCCGCACACCTTCCGGCCAGGGTAGCTCGTGTGAGGCCAGAACACCCTTTAAGAATTTAGCTAAAATGCCCTTTCAGTTTTTCTTTGTGTATTTGGGGATACTGGGGGTGGAACCCAGCGCCTTCCTCTGTCTCTGTCTCTCTCTCTTTTTGAGATGGCCTCGCTATTCCAGGGAGGACTCGAACGCACAGCGACCCTCAAGGCTGGGATCACAGGTGAATGCCACCATGCCAAGCTCTGTTCTTCGTTTTGAGGCAGGGCTTCACTAGTTACTCGGTTTCCAAGAAAGGGTCTGAACTTGCAGTCCTCTTCCTCTGCCTCCCAAGTAGCTGGGTTATCGGTATGCACCAACACCGACAACCCAGCAGAAAGCAGCTCTTGAGCCCAGATCTGCAGGACAAGGATGGGAGGAGAAACAGGCACAGAGCCCCAGACGAGACTGCCTGCGAAGTCTGGGGTGAGAATGTGCCCCAAGCACTCACATGTGCAGGGGCGAGGCTATGCCAACCCTGTGGGCAAAGCTCACAGATTGGTTCCATCCCCAGCACTGTGAGGGAAGACAGACAGACAGACAGACAGAGACAGGTATTGGATTTTCTCTTACATGTGACTGAGGCTACTGGAGGATCTTAGGCTGTGACCTGATCTGGCCTCTGTATCTATAAAATGAGTACACTCATCCAGGGCCCTGCGGGGGTTTTTGAAGGTGAGACATTGTAGACAAACTTCAGGTACCTGAGAAGAACCCAATAAACAAACACAAGCTGTCAGTCCAGCAGTGTTTGGACCTGAGGCTCCAGAGCTGGCTGAGGCGCAGGGAGGGCAGGGACCACAGCAAGTGCCACCTCTGAAACTATCAAAATCCGGGTTAAATACCCCTAAATTATTGCGGGATGATCAGGCCTGCAATCTTCCAAGCGAGGGGGAACGTCGAAGGCTTAAATAAAGGCAGACAAAAGCAATGACTTTAGGGCTCCAGGAGGGACTAACTCCCTTACAGTTTCGGTATCCTCTGAGTTAGCCAAAGACTGCTCTGGGTGGCCCGTATTTATTAGGTTTTCAAACCAAGAGAGAGGATACTCAAGAAAACGCGGGAATCTCACAGGACCTTGGGAGAATTTTCCCAAGTAGTAAATTATGTCAGTCAGGAGAACTATGTTATCTCCAGGAAGGCCTTCACAGCAGGATGCCTGCAGCTGCAGTCTCCTTTAAGTTAATTGGGGTTGGAGCCAGACATCTTCAGCTGTAGCCTTATCTTGTCAGACAAGGTGCCTAAGCTTCAGACAACTCACAAGTAAACATGGAAAGCCAATTGGTTAATATTAAATCCTGCTCAGAGCCACTTTGTAGTGGTCCCCAACAAGTGCCACCTCTGAAACACCTTTTTTCCTTGACTTCGGGTCAGTTCCACGTGTTCTGTTCTTTCATACGGTGCATTACTCTGCAGGAGGAATTTCAGTTCTCAATTAAGACTGCCTGGGTTTGATGTCATCTCCCCTACCACCGATGTGCTTCCTTACACTTCTCAAAGCATCCTGAGACACTTGCATATGGTGATATGACATGTGTGAAGGGTTTAAACAGTGCCTGTGTGTGGCTTTTCACTAGAGTGAATTAAAATTTAAGCTACTAAGGTTACTATTTGTTATCTCAGGGTAAAAGTACAACTGGACACACCCTGTAAAAAAGTTGTGCTGGGCACAGTGGCACACAACGGTGATCCCAGCACTCAGGAGACAGAGGCAGGAGGACCTCTAGTTTGAGGTCAGCCTGGGCTACACAGTGAGAGAGAACCTGTCTCAAAAAACCAAAGGCGGGGCTGGGGATTTAGCTCAGCGGCACAGCGCTTGCCTGGCAAGCGTGAGGTCGTGAGTTCGATTCCCAAAAAAAAAAAAAAAAAAAAAAAAAGAAAAGAAGAGCTTATTAGGCAGAATTAAAGACGCGCACATTCACAAAGAAATGTGCGGTCTTGGGAGAGGTACCCCAATAATTTCCACAGCCTCAACTTGGACTGTTAGTGTCTGCCACGCGGTACAATGAGTTCACCAGCGCCAGGGTTATTCCGCCTGTCACAGAAGGAACCTCCGAGTCTCCTTTGCCTTAGCAGGCTGAGCATGGGGACATCTTGCCCCGTAACGCCACCTGGAGAAGGGGTCAGTCGTTACCCTAGTCACCCGCCTTATACGGAGGAGACTTCAAGGACCATCGAATACACGATCTACCCGCCGGCTGAAAACTACAATGGTTTCCCAGTACTAACCCTCCCTTCACAAGCAACTGAGATTTTCCGTCCGCTGTGCAGAACGCGCCGGACCCGCACGCCGGGGCTGACAGCCCGGAGCCTGGGCGCGCCCCGGCCCCAGGGGTCAGGATAGGGCCCGGCAGGCGGCGGTCACAGCCCCGCGGCGGAGGCGACGGTC